CGGGGTTTGAGGTGGTGAGGTCTCCCTTCCAAAAACTATTTTTATCTGATCCCAAGAATCGTAAATATTCATTACAGACAGAGTTGTAAATCTAACAAAGCATAAAGAAAATGAAAAGCAGCCATAATCCCGTAAAGCCATAATCCCAGGAATAACCCAGCAGTAACCTGAGTGTGTGGATCCGTGGGGCTTCATTCCCTGAAACAGTATCACTTCTCATTAAAACCTCAGCCTTTCACTTAAAGAAGGAAATGTGGTCTATTCGGAGCCATACACGAAGACGAGTCAAATAATTACAAGCAACTGTCACGCTGTTCTGGGGACACAAGCGGTGACGACGAGTTCTTTCTGTGTCACGGGAACAACCAGCAAAGTGAGCTGGACTCTTGACTCCAATAAGAGAAAAGGAAGAAGCAGGGACTCGCCGAGTCTCGTCTCCTGTGGACCTCTGTCAGTGACCACGAATGCAAAGGACAGCCCGCCGTGTCGTGGAGACGCGCCGAGGTGAACCACCGGCCCCCAGCCCACCTGGTGGCCGAGGCAGAGGGAGCTGAGACCCCTGGCTCTCGAGTGGCCTTCCTCTCCCGGAGTGGAGGTTAGGGGACATGGCAGGCCCTCGGGCGTCTATTGCTCTTCAAGATGCATGGTAACCTGGGGTCCAAGAGGAGATGGCCCGAAGCCCCCCTCTCTCGGGGGAAACAAACGTGTCTAAGCCATAGCCGTCCGGAGAAGAACGGCCATACCATGTCAGAGGGGGGCACAGGACACAGCCAGGGGTCCCGGAGGGATCAGCGATTAACACTGTTGAATTGCCCAGCTGGTGTGGCTCAGTGGATTGAACCGCATCCCATGGACTGAGAGGTCCCCGTTCGATTCCCAGTCAGGGCACAAGCCCGGGTTGTGGGCTCGATCCCCAGTAGGGGGCGTGCAGGAGGCAGCCGATGGATGTGTCTCTCTCACGCTGATGTTTCTATCTTTCTCTCCCTTCCTCCCTCTCTAAAATAATCACACACGAGATTAAATATATAAATTGAACACACAAGATTCATAGTGTATCACCAGTATTATTTTTCACAGCGTCGCCCAGAGCCGGGGCTGGAAGGAATCACGTGATCACTCAACACGTCCTCCCCTGCGTGTTCAAAAGGAGCAGTGCTTGAATGAGCTTACCTCTCGAATCCCTTTAAGCTCTAAACTTAACTTTCTCATGTACAAAGCATTAGATAGTGCCCTGTTGAGACCATAAGCTACTCATGAAAAGAGATTAGTAGGAACTCGATTGCTACTTGATTTTTAATTCCACTCAGATACAGAAAGGGAGCTCGTTTTCCTCGGGCCCAGGAATCGCGGGAAGGCTCAGAGCCCTCGAGTCTGTGTGCTATTGCATGAAAAGCACTTTGAGAGACAGTGTGTTCAGTCTGGGGTCACTGTCGTCCCCACATGCCACTTCCTCGGGATAACATTTTCCAAAGGACTCGAGCACCCCAGCTCCAGACCAAGGTGCCCAAGGAGCGTGGCTGCTGGCCTCCATCGGTCGTGACCATTTCTCCCCGAAACAGGTGAACCGTCTGCACACCTGCACACCTGTTTCTCTAAAGCGGGGTTCTTTCCTGCTCTCGAGCTGTGGACAAGAGTCTTCACGAGGTCCCTGAACACCCCAAAACTGCCTGCAAACTGCTGTGTGTGCAACACTGATAATCTGATCAGATGCTTAAGGACAACTCTGAGCCACGGAAGACAGAGCGCATTTGTCCCTGCACATGTGAATTAAATACTAACCCAAGTGCCCCGGGTGAGCACATGCTTACGCGTGTGTCCTCTGACCCCAGAAACCTCCAGGACACAGGACGCTTGCTAACAAGCTGCCCTTTTTACTTCCACATTAAAAAAAAAAATTTCAACAAAATATCATCCCCAGGACATATAAAACTGAACCAGCAAAGACAAACTTAAAAAAAAAGAAAAATCAGTTACCCATTTAGTCGCTGTGAAAAGTCTATCTTACAACCCAGCGTCTCAGAGAATGTCAAAGTCCTCTTTTTCAATGTTTAATCAGCTCTAAAGGATAATGTTAAAGAAGAGACCTTTTCAAAGGTGAGACGGTGACAGACGAGCCTCGAAACAGTTCTCGTCCCAGGACGGGGGGCTGCCAGGGAGCCTCTCCCTGACGAGTGAGACGCATGAGCCTCCAGGAATGAGGCCCCGTGGTCTTCGGGGACATGTCTGTTCAGAGCCTCGGTGACTGTATTCAGTGCCACAGGCTTAAATAGCACCTGTATGTCGGCAATTCTCAAACGTATCCCTCCAGTCCCCAGCTCCACCCGCACATCTGACCGCCACCACACCTCAGGGTCCACCACGGAATTCCTGACGGTCCCCTTGCACTGGCTCCGGCTGCTGACTTGCCCTTCTCGGCTGATGGCAACTCCACCTTCGCGGCTGCGCCCTGAAACCTTGGGGTCCTTCTGGGCCCTCTTTCTTCCCCACCCACATCCATCCCACCAGCACATCCCACTGGCTCCACCTTCGGCAGACCCCAGAGGGGAGCCCCCCCACACACACGTCCGGCACCACCGCCCTGGTCTAGCCACGGCGCCTGGATTCCGCAGAGGCTGCTCCCGCCTCGCCCCCCTACATCCAGCCTGAATTCAGGGAACAATCCGCGGAGCCCATGCAAACAGAGGGGGGCAGTGCAGCTGTGACGTGAGACGGGGTCTGTCAGAGGGAAGCTTGTTCCTGGGTCCTCAAAGCCCCTCTGTGAGATCTGGATCTCAGAACATGTTTCCGCTCTGCAGGGAGACAGCATCCCCGCTCGAGCCCGTACAGTCACTCTGGTCTGGAAGAGACTGTGGAGGCGTCCAAGTTGCCCTCTGCGCGCCCTTGGTCTTCCAGAGAACGCTTTAGGATATTGGAGGTGAGCCCTGGCCGGTCTGGCTCAGCGGTCAGAGCATCGGCCCGCAGACCAAAGGTCACAGGTTCGATTCTGGGTCAAAGGCACGTGCCTGGGTTGCAGGTTCGATCTCCAGCCCCAGTCACGGTTGTGCAGGAGGCAACCAGTTGATGTGTCTCTCTCACATCGATGTTCCTCTCTCCCCCTACCCTCTTCCCCTCCTACTCTGTCTAAATATATACAAGAGGTGAGTGTGACCAGCACCCCCCACCAGGGCAAATCCACTGTGGTCCACTTTGTGCGTCGGTGGCCCCCATATTCCACCTCAAGGCATACTCAAATAGAAAGCTCCAGAACACCAACCAAAAGTGTACGTGTCCCCCAGAGAGGAAAAGCCAGGAGGGAAATGAGGAGCACAGGCTGCAGAAAAACCGGGCAAACCACCAACACGATCACAGGGCAGCATCCCCAAGCTCGGGCGTGAGGGAGGACAGTGCTTCCCGCTACAGGAAGACGGAGGGCGAGCGGCCACGGCAGAGTCCACGCACACGCCGCAGTATGACACGTGCCCCTCTCATTCCTTAGAGACGAACCCAACAGTCTTCCTCGCACACACAAAGGAACATCGAGTGAGTCCCAGAGGCCTAGACTCGGCTCAGCCGCGGCCTTCGCGTCCGCTGAATGGAGCCGGGTGACGACGGGGCGACGGTCCTGACAGCCGCGAAGAGCCACGCGGGCCCCCAGCCAGCTCTGCCCACTCGACTCCGGGCTCCTGGCGCTTGGCATCATGAACCTGGCAAGGGCTCGGCCGACAGATCGCCTGGCCACGCCCTGAGCGGGGTCATTCTCCAGGTCTAGTTCCAAAACAACCAAAATCCGATCAGAGTGCTTAAGAGCTCAAGACTGAGCAGGTCACGCCTGGCGAGGAGGACAGGGGCATCCCCAAAGCTAACAACCGCCACCATTTCTCAAATGCTCGTGGCCCGCCTGCTGTACCAAACACACGCCCACATATACTTACATATACACACGTGTACAGCATCTGCATATACAGCATCTGCATATACAGCACCCTACTTACCACCTCTCTACAAACAGAGAGCATCTTATTTAATGATCAAAATGTGTGCAGTTTATTTTGTAAAGAACATCCCAGTTCTCTCAGGAGCAGCAGTGTCCCCGTTTCACAGATGAGAAAACCAAGTGAACCCCAAGGAACCTGCCAGGACATACCAGTGAGTAAGTAATAGAGCTGCAAATCCAAGAAGTAACCCAAGGTGTTCCTCAAGTTTCCCCAATTCATTTTATTATATAGCACCTTTATTCTTTGTTCAGATAGAGGGGAAGGAAAAGAGAGGAAGAGAGAGAGAGAAACATCGATATGAACGGGACACATCGAGTGGCTGCCACCTGCACGACCCAACCAGGGCCGGGGACAAACTGCAACCCAGGTACATGACCTTAGTGGGAACCGAACCCGGGTCTCTCTGGACCGCAGGCTGACGCTCTAACCGCTGAGCCAAACCAGCCAGGGCAACACCTTTATTCTTTTCTGTGTTTTCTGGTCATATTAAGCAAAACATATTATTTCTTGAAATAGAACACACATATATATATTGTCCCCAATTAAAATAAATCCAAAGACACAAAACGAATTCCTCCAAAACACTACAACGGAAAGGATCGGGAAGGACATTTCAGAAAGGTGTCCTGCATAAAGAAAGCAGGTGAGACACACGCCAGCGTAAACTACCCCGAATTCAGATTTTCACAGAGCACAGCGCGGAGCAGACACCCCGCGTTCGTAGAAGGCTCGTCCGCGGCAACCAGGCGGCGGCCATGAAGTCAGGCCCCGGAGGACTCGCATCAAACACGTGAAGGAAGGAACTCACTGGGGGAAACAGGAGTGCAATTCTTAGACGTGACTAGAACGGGACGTGTTATACCACGATCCGTCTAGAAGAAGGAATCCCCAAAATAAAGTCAAGAAAGACTGGCACTTCCCCCCCACGCCCCTCAAAAAGGGTCCGCGTCACGACGCCCGGTTCCCCTTTGCGGCCAGGCAGCCAGGGGGCAGCGCCGGGCCCTTCCCGCAGCCCCCGGACCTCACCTGGGACGTTGTGGATGGTGATGGCCAAGATGAGCAGCGCGATTCTCCTCCAGCTGCTGCCGCTGGGAGGGCTGGGGGGCGTCAGGTTCCCTCGAGGAGGCGCGGGGACAGCGGGGCCCTCGGGGTGGTCGGTGGCCCCCGCCTTCTTCCTCTGGTAGGCCTCGCCGTTCTCACTCTTGTCTGAGCAGAAAGAGAGGGGCGGGAAGAGCGGGCTTTGAACACGGGCGCAGCGCAGGCGGCTCAGCACCCGGACAGGAGCTGCTCCTGACCCCCATGGACGTGGACTCCTGCGCTCCCCTTCTGCACCCCTCACTCAGCAGACAGTCACGGAACAGACGTCCCGCCCGATGGGCAGGCACCAAGGGCGAAGGGGGTGGAAGGCGGGCCCGTGGGCAAGGCCTGTTGTGGGGGCACCCCTGAGCCGGGAGCAGAAGCCCGGATGCCGGGGCCGGAGCGGCTCACACGCCCTTTAGCCTCTTGGTGCCTCAGTTTCCTGACTCACGAAGAGGGATCACAGTCCCTACTGCATTCGGGGAGGATTTGGGGAGGATTCGAGGAGAGGCTGCGTGAAAACACTCAGACTGGCCCGGCCACTGTGGCTCAGGGGTCGAGCGTCAACCCCTGCATCAAGAGGTCGCGGGTTCGATTCCTGGTCAGGACACATGCCCAGTGGGGGGTGTGCAGGAGGCGGCCAATCGATGTTTTCTCTCATTGACGTTTCTATCTCTCTCTCCCTCTCCCTCTCCCTTCCTGTCTCTCTAAAATCAATAAAGAAAAAAATAATAATTTTTTAAAAACCCCCTAGACTGTCCCAAATGCTGTGGGTGTAAATAAATGGTGGCAGGTGGCAGAGCCCTTCCATCCCACACCCAGAACCCCAACCCCTGTGACTCCTGGTCACACTGACTCGGGGGGCACTGATTCAAATGCCGGACCCAGCCAACCAGATCCTCTCCCCAGGGAGAGCAGACTGGAAGGGGGAAGGGCCTAGGACTCTGAATCCAAAAGGTCACACCGGGCAAGGGCAGCCATGACCCACCACACAGGAATGGAACAAGGAAGCGGCTGGGCAGACAGACAGAAGGAAGCAGACACCGTGGACAAGCAGAGATGGAAAATCATGAAGCTGGAGAAAAAGGGGCACCTTCGGGGATTCCTTTCTCCCCAATCTTACTCCTTGTTGGCCCACCCTCCCGGGTGCCTCACGGAAAGACCAGACTCTCAGTCTCCTGCAAATAAGAGAGCCCCAGAGATGGGACACCGTCGGCAAACAACGCCCAGAGAGCCCCAGAGACGGGACACCGCCGGCAAACAACTCCCAGAGAGCCCCAGAGACGGGACACCGTCGGCAAACAACGCCCAGAGAGCCCCAGAGACTGGACACCGTTGGCAAACAACTCCCAGAGAGCCCCAGAGACGGGACACCGTCGGTGAACAACGCCCAGAGAGCCCCAGAGACGGGCCACCGTCGGCAAACAACACCCAGAGAGCCCCAGAGACTGGACACCGTCGGCGAACAACGCCCAGAGAGCCCCAGAGACAGGACAGGGTCAGCAAATCCCAGCACCACGTGTGTCTCACAAGAACATCGAGAAGCATGAAGCATTGTGAGCCCAGGTGAAAAAGCACGCCTGGCCTTGGGGTCCCAAGGTGGGGGGCTGATGGCGGTGCCTCCTCCGTGGATGCCCAACCCACCTGTGAAAGTTAAACTCCCACTAACGAGTCTGCGACAAGGGAAATCAGTCCGAATCCATCAGGAGCCGGAGGTGTCCTGAGCAGAGAGTCTCCTTGCCTCTCCTAGCTAAGCCTCATGAAACCCTCACACTCCATCAGGGAAAATGCCCGACCGCTTCCCGGGGCGACGGTCATCCCTGTTGCGGGGACAAGAGCAGGACAGAGTGACGAGAACCCAGGAGATTTCCTGAAAGAGGAAAGGTTCAGACCCCTTTGGAGGAGGACCGGGCAAAGAGGAAGGACATTTAGGGATGGAACACGTGGACGACACCGGCCAGCAGGTGATGTGAGAATGTCCCTTAGTCATCTCAGTCCCTACAAATGCCTGTGAAGTAGAGGTCACTCCCTTCAACAAACCAGGAGCCTGAAGAGCAGAGAGGGGGCACCTGTCCCAGGATGCACAGCCCTCCAGGGGCTGGGACCCACACCAAGGCCCTTTGCCTCCAGAGGCCACCCCTTAACCGGGCCCCACGGCTCACGGGCACGGAGGGGGGAGGGTTGGTCTCTGTGCCCCGGAAAGGGTAGTGGGAGCAGTCACCGCAGTGACATTTAGAGGCTTGAAGTCCCAGGTGTTCGGTTCCCAGATGTTGAGGTGGCAGAGGGTCTCGTGAGCTGACAGTGGGTGACACCAGGGACGGGAAGACTCGGAGGAAATCTCGTATCGACCTCATTCCCACTCACAGACAGACCTGGAGCCATTCCAGGAAGGGGTGTTTCTTTACCCTCCAACCCGCTGCGTCTAAGTGTCAGCGGGAAATGCTTATTAACACCCAGCAGGAGCCGGGGCTGCCATTCTTTCCAGAGGGAAGAGAGGAACCACTTCAAAGCAGATCACTACCCAAGCACCTCTTTTAAAATGTAAACGCAAGCAACTCAGAAGCCACACAGAGAGGGGACCCCTGCTGGGGCTCAGCCTGTGGTCCCTGCTTCATCTTCTGCAGAGGAGGAGGACCCAGCAGAACGGGGGGGGGGGGGGGGGGGGGGGAGGGGACCAGTTCAAGGCTCCTCTTCCCACTGGACCTCGGGGTGACCTGCTGAGGCACATGACTTCCTGGTTTCCTCGCCCCTAAGCAAGGAACACGATTCTGTCCCAGCACACCCCTGTGAGCAAAAGCAGACAGGGGTCCAGGGGCACAAGCCAGGGACCACAGCGAAGGAGCCTTGCTGTGGGGGAGACCCCTCCCCACAGGGCTGGCCCCCTCCCGTGAGGTGCAAAGTCCTGCCGTTTCTAGATCAGGGGACCTGAACCACTTTGAACCAGCAGCTGCTTCTTGAAGCTGTAAGCCTCTCTCTCTCCAGCAAAATATATATATATAAAATACATTTTTTATTGTTGAAAGTATTACAGATGCCCCCCCTATGTTCCCCCATTAACCCCCTCCTCCCTCTGTGAAAGCTAAACCCGTTACCTAAAAAGAAGAGTAGCCGGCAACCTATCTTCACCGTGTACTGTGTGTGTACACACTCAAAAGGCCAACCAACAGCAGGGAAAAGGGAGGGACCACTGACGAATATTTTCTCCTTCCTCCAGAGAATCGGGATAATTTGGGGAAGAAATTCATATTTCTTGTGAGCATGCCTGCTAAGGATCTAGTTGTGTTTCTCAAATCATTTATGGGATTAGCATGACTTCCTTTACATAACTTGTCCTGAATTTGAACGCAAAATAATTACTCAACACTGGCTAGCATCAACGTGGGCAGACAGAGAAACTAAGGCCCACGGAGACCCTTCTTGATGGTCACAGGGGAATTTAAGAGCCAGAGTGGTTGTCCCAGTCTGAGCAGAGGACCCCTCGGCTCGGAGACATGCACAGCTGAAGCCTGGGACCGTCTCTAAACCTCTCCACAGCTCTGCCACCTTCCTTTTAGTAAAGCTACAAATGTAACCGCCTTCAAGGCCACTGCCCAAAGGTAAAAGGTCCCCAGCATCCCTAACACAACAGTTGTCATCTGTCCCTACCCAGTGTCCAGTTCACGTACACTGATGTTTTGCGTATCTGCAGTCAGTGCAAATGGCAAAAACAGATGCTGGGTCACACTGGCTGCAGTGGGATCGTGGCCCTTTTACTACTGATTGTATGTTTTAATGCACAGTTCCATATTCCACTTGTTTCACTTAAAATTTCAGAAACATTTTCTAGATTTCTAAGCCTTTGTGACTCTAGTTTTTAATGGCTCGAGGACACGTTGTTTATTTTTAATCCTGTCCTCTGGGAAACCGTTTCCTTTTTATTCGGGTGTGAAGGGTTGGTCCCTCTTTTCCAGATGCTAAAAGATGCAGTGCCAGGCTCTTGCCACATGGGGGCACACTGTTCCTGCTCCCGCTCACCCAGAATGGGCACCCACCCCTGGAAAAGTGCCTGTGTGGACTTCACGCACTACATCTTTGTTTTGTGGCTTAATGGTTCTTACAGACCACTGGAACGTGTACCAGGGGCTGAGCTACCCCAGGACACAGCTGAGTACGTGAGGGAAAGTCCTACTGAAGACTGGCGGGATCTGTGCAGCGATGCTTAAATTTTTCACGCGCTTCCCTGTAACTAATTGTTGCCCATCCACTGTTTCCCTAGAGCAGAACCACAGGGGAGGGGATCATACCTGCAGGTGTATGCCTCCGAAAACGAACAAGAGAAAATTTACCCAAAGCTCCCTTCCACCTTCCACATCTTCAAAGTACTTTTGGCTTTAATCTCCCCACAAAAAAAGAGAAGCATCAGTTGAAACGGAGAGAAAAAAAAAATAGAAATTAATTCTTGGCTTTGGACCTGCTGGGGGTCCACGGCCCGGTCGTTCCAAGGAGAGGAGGGGTTTCCAAGGCGAGGGTTCTGACTCAGAGCTTCTGCATGAAGTGCTGTCTTAGAAGCCTGGCCACCTGGGACGTGAGACCTTCAGGATCGGGGAAGGGGGCGGGCAGGGGATGGCCAGCACGGAGCAGACGTGGTTTGACGAGGGACGAAGGAAAGAGAGAAGGGACACAGCGCTCACAGAGCCTTTGCGTGGGGAAACCCCTTCGCTTCCCTGAGCGGCAAGGCTACGCACCTAGGCGTGTCCTCAGACCTCGGGGCCCCTCGGACTGCCGCACACAGGCTGCAAGTGTGAGGCCCTGGCACGAAACCAACAGCACAGCGCTCATTTAACTCTCGTCAGTGTAATAGGTTTAATGGGTGTAAGCGGCTGAGGGAGGGCGGGCTGGCCAGCCATCCAGCCATCCCGCCAATGGGCAAGTGCCCCAGAGAAAACACGCCTGCCAACAACCTCCCTTCTGATTCTAAAGCCATCAAATGCGTACTGAAGCGTCCTTGGAAAACCTCGAAGCCTGCAGGGGGCATGTAAACCACGCACAATCACACCACTGCCAACAAATACTGGGGCTTGGCATTATTTCCTTCCCTGCTTTTCCGGGTAGTTGTACGTAAGGCAGGTGTGTTACACCACTGCGGCCCC